TGTACTCCAAAAGAAGTAGCACAATCCTGAAAAAGTTGAGAATGTAATGGTTTAAAAGAATTCATGCAGCCAGCATTAAGGTAGAATTATGGTTCAGCTTAGTTGAGCATTCATATCTCCAATTTCTCCAAGATCTGACCTCTGACATAGATAAAACCTTGTAAAACAACCTAAAGCTATAAAGGGAGAAAAAGAAAAGAAGAAAAGTAGATTATTAGATACTTATGGTAATTCATCCATAAAATTATGTTTAGACAAAACTTGCTAGAAAGTTGTGCTTGTTGGGTATGGCCAGCAAGCTTTAATGCCTTCTTTGTGTTTGATTAGTGTTTTTCTCTCTTTTTGATGACAGGGACGCCATGTTGGATCCTTCAGCTGTCTTTGGGATGCTTTTTGGAAGTGAATTCTTTGAAGAATATGTTGGCCAACTAGCACTGGCTTCTTTGTCATCTGTGGAAATTGAAGATGATTCGCTAGATAAGGAAGCTCGTATGCAGAGAATTCAGGAGAAGATGAAGGTAAAACTCTTTTCAGAAGTCCACCACCAACCAACCACACCCCCCCCCCCCCCCCCCCCCCCCCCCAAAAAAAAAAAAAAAAAAAGGTTTTCTTTCAATTATAGTGAAGTTTTTGCCTTTTGCCCCTTTCTTATATGCAGGCACTTCAGAAAGAAAGGGAAGAAAAGCTCATCACAATACTGAAAAATCGCCTTCAGCCATTTGTTGAAGGTCAAACTGATGAGTTCATTAGATGGGCAAATTCAGAAGCACGGCAACTTTCAAAAGCCGGTAAACTTTTTCTTATGTTGTCCTCAACTAAAAATAGCAGAAAGGATATATACTTTATATCTTAGATATCTCTATTGTGGAAATTTACCTTAGTCCTTTTGGAAAACTAGTTGATGTTTTGATATTTTATGATGCTGATATTGCTCAAATATTTTTCATTAGAAGGTCTGTCAGTTTTCAAAATCTGTTCGAAAAAGTCTTGTTGAATTCCAGTTAAGTTTATAGTAGGCATATGGCTTGGTCCAGCCCACTCCCAGTCAATAGTAGTAATAGTTTAAGATCAATGGTCAAAAAACCATGCATGTTTGTATAACATTTTTTTTTATAACCTATTTATCTGTCTATCATACAAGACTACAAGTAGTTCAGGAATTTGGTACCTCTTTAAAACATTTCCAGGAAATCTGCTAAATAACTAATACCTTCATTTTTCTTCTTAAATATTATCATTGCCATTAATTTATATTTTCCACCTCTTTCAGCTTTCGGTGAGGCTATGCTACATACCATTGGATACATTTACACGAGGAAAGCTGCGAGGGAACTTGGAAAAGACAAGCGGTTTATGAAGGTACCCTTTTTAGCAGAATGGGTGAGAGATAAAGGCCACCGTATAAAATCACAAGTTATGGCAGCTTCAGGTACAACATTCTGCAGTTAAAGATCTTGATATTATTTAATGTCCTTCAAGACCTTTCCAAGTTAATTGAACTTCAAAATTTCAAATGAACCTAGCAAGCACGTTCATCTCCTTGTAGGTGCTGTTAGTTTAATTCAAATACAAGATGAGCTGAAGAAAGCTCACCAAGGAGAAAACAAAGAAGAGAACATACTGAAAACCCTGGAAGATAAGAAGGATGCCATGCTTCAATCCCTTTGGCAGATCAATGTGGTTGATATTGAGTCAACTTTATCTCATGTCTGCTTAGCAGTGAGTTAACACATTTTCTTCCTTTGTGGTGTCTTTTGTGTGTGTGGATGTGTAAGTAGGAAAAGATAATTGTTAGTTATGAATTTTATTGGGATAGATTCCTCCAATATCACATGGAGGTCTTTGGTACTAATTCCATCTCATAGAACCTATTATCATGAGCAAGAAGTATGAGTAGGTTTCACTAATTGTATAATTTGACATGATGTTGAGACTAAAAGATAGAGAAGGTGCTGTTAACCGCATTTACTTTGTTTGCACAGCTTCAAATGACTTTCTATAACATTCATTTAAAATTAGGATACACAATTTTTTTCCCCCTTTTCCTTCTATTGCTATGATGATGTCCTCAATGAAGTTATTGACTTCTTTTTTCCATGCTGTACTTAAATGGTCCAACCCACTTCTATAACTTTTTAGAGGAGCTGCCAAGCATCTTTCTGGGGTTGCTTTGCAGCGTTTATGGTCTTTTCCAGAACTTCAGCTATCTCATTTATCTGCTGTACATTTAAGTTTCATCTTGTATCCTAAATAAATTCAACATATGACATGCTAATAGCGCGTGACTGAGAAATTAACTAAAGTTATTTTCTCCTACAGATGCCAAGTGACTGAGCTTTATTGCATTTTGACCTGCTAATTTTATTCAAACTCACTTTATCTTCACTAAAGGGTTTAGGGTGTATCGCCCAATTAACTTATTGATAGATAGTAGATCAGTTGAACCAAGTTGTATTTTGAGGAAATTATCTAAATCTGTTTGTTATCCAGGTACTTAAAGACCCTAGTGTATCGAAGGATGTTCTAGTTTTACGGGCAAAAGGACTGAAAAAACTTGGAGCAATTTTTCAAGTGAGTATGACGGTCCCTTCCACAAATTAATGAGCCATACAGTCATTCCAAAGAGCTGTAATTCAGCTTGATTTTGAGTTCTGTTTCAAATTGACATAGGTGATGGGCACAGAGTGCTCGGAATAAGTAATTCTTTTTCATATATGTTTTTGGCTCATACTCACCACAGAATTTATCTTCCATTTCTAATTTCTCAGGGAGCAAAAGCTGCTTATAGTAGAGAAAACAGCCTGCGCCATGAAAGTGACAAAGCAATAAGTGTTGGTTCCTCCTCATAGTCATCTTGATACTCGATGGATGCCCACTTGGTTTTTGATGTAGATGGTGTGTTGGAAGTAATTGGGTTTTACTTTTGTCCAATGTTTTGAATGTTTGAAATGTATGTTCATCATTGATGGTATTGATTCAACAGCATATTGAATTTTAGACAAGAATAGGAATCTTTGTGCATTCATTACTGCAGGATTAGTTTCATTGTTGTAGTAGACTGTATATGCCAATTTGTTATAGAATCAACGGTAATGAAGCTGTGTTGAAAGCAACCAGTAAGTTTTTCTGATGCTTACGTGCAAGTTGCCCCTACAAATGCATATATACATCCATAGGTAGTGGCAGAGCTTTTCTGCAACTAGGAGGAAGAATAATTTATACAGAAGGCACACAATTGGCACCTATTCCTTGCATCCCTTTTGCAAATCACCATGCACTAATTTAAATAAGACATTATCATCAAATCTCTTGATATTTGTTTAATTATCATGGAAAGATAACCCAACCTCCCTTAGCAGAAAGATATTTGTCATCATCTGCAACGGTGAGGAAGACTATTAACTAGGACTAGCATGTCCTACCCTTCTCGTTATATATATATATATATATATATATATATATATATATTTGTCATCATCTGCAACGATGAGGAAGACTATTGACTAGGACTAGCATGTCCTACCCTTCTCGTTATATATATATATATATATATTCTGAAAGACACTGTCACAAACTCCACTTTCGTCCATGGTTTCCCATTTGTTTCCTTTTGATAAGATCAAGGATCAAATCACCTATTTGGGTTAATCCAAAAATAATCAACCCATGAATCATAATATTATATTACATTAGTAAAAATCATTAGCCGAAGCTTTATATATATACATATATATATATATATATATTAAAGGGGAAAAAGTGTTGCAATGATGGAACAAAAAAGAAGAAAAAGTGCAGTAGCCATTCCTAAAGCAGGTGCCTTATCGGTGTACACTGTCGAGAGCATATAAAGATCAAAATCTTTTTCCAAATCCTTTTTAAGTGCTTCAGCCTTGAGATGAAATAACATCATAAACATGAATCTGATATCACACTCAGAATCCATTATAGCAGCATGCCAAGAAAGAATTATAGCAGTGCAGATGATGCATACCTGAACCAAACTCTCATTGCCGGTGTTAATTCAAGCCTCGAACAATACGTCAAACATATTCGATCCATGACTTCATTTATTAACCTAGTTCCATTAGGAAGTTGACCAAATATTAAGAGGGACGAGGAATTCACATAATTTAAGGGAGGATATGCCCTAAACTCCTAACCCCACTTCCAACGAAAAAGAAAGACAAAATGGTATTTTAATGGCACAGTGCTCTTCTCTTTATTCTCCACCAGTGTCCTTTCAGTTGTATTTGGTGCGTTGTCCTTGTCGTTAAGGATAATTGAAGCCACTTAGTCATCCCGCAAAATGTTATTTTAATGGCAACCTAATTAACCCCTTTCAGCACGCCCCCCCGCAAGGCCACGGAACCTCCCTCCAATGGCGACCATTTTCCCCATGTTTCCCGTTTTAGCCCTACAATACCCTCACTCAAAACTCAAATCAGCAAGTGGAAATTCTACCTCACTTTTGGATTTCTGGATTGGATAATGCTCTCTTCTCAATCATGGTTTCCATATTTTTTAGATTAAGTTGATTGGACTGTCTGGTCAACCAAATAATTTTTCAGTTTATATATAAATTCTATATATTTTCAACGAATCAAGTATTTTCATTATATATTGAGAATAAATAAGTAAACAAGAACGTAAGATGTGAAAATATGAATAGTAATATATTTTGAATCAATATATAGTAAGAAATTAATATAAAGTAAAGCTTTATCCTTTATGTAAAATTCAAGCATTATAAGAAAAATGAAGTTTAATTTTTTTGAAGTGCTTTTTCAATTAGGAGGAATTGAGCCAATGAGGGTATTAGTGAAGTCAAGATTAGTATGTATACAGCCAGATATCAGCAATGTGAATCCTTTGTATTAAGACAAGTGAGGGGTGTTTTAATGATTTCCACTAGCTTGTCACACTCATTCCTGATACTTTAATTAACTATATAATCCACTAACCTGCTAGACTTAAGTGCCCCAACAAAAGAAAAGCAGTCTCCTTCCCCTTTTCTGCTTTTGAATTTTTAAACTAAGATTGCATTCTTTCGCAATAAAATACAACTAATTCCTCGTTCATCTCTGAGGCCGCTCTTGGTATATACTATAATGTTGGTTGCAATATAGATAGCCCTCACTTGCTTCGATTCCCTCTTGAATGAGAAAAAAATTCGCTTTGAAAGATAAAAGACAACAGAAGGAAAAAATTTCTGCTCAACAATGGGTGTCATGCATCTCAAGAAGATTGTTCTACTTTTCCTCCTGGCTTCAGCTTTTCTTTTATCAACTTCTCTGGCAGGTGGGTTCTTCTATGTCTCCTTGCTGCAACTTTAATCTGCTGCAAAGTCATGCACGCGTTGTCGAATGTCGAAGCTTAACTAATAAAGAAGAACAAGCTAGCTAGCTTAGTAAGATTAATTAATGACCTGGCTTCAAGCTATGTCGACACTTGAAACTAAAGACCAAGGTTTAACCTTGGATTTTAGGGTAACATGCTCGCCAGTACATATCTTTTGCGTCAAAGTCCTGTTAGGGTTTTAAGATGCATTAAACTATTCTGCATGTTCAATGACATATGTTTCATGGGATGGGTTCCTTTTTCTTCTGGTAGTCTTTGTTATTATTGGCTTAAAAATGAGTGACTATATACAGAATGAGAGTTTCACCATTCACTTGCTGGAATTGCCTTTTTGTTGCAGCTCGACCATCGAAGTTCGTGAACAAGTTGGCTGAGGAAGTGGATGCAGCTTTTGAGGTTTGTGTAAATGGAAACTCTCCTTTTACTGGTATTGTATGGAAACTTGATTTGAATTCTTTCACTCTGTGGCGGTTTTCACCAACTTTAGAGACTAAAAAAGGAAGAGGAATTGTTGGCATTGGAAGATATATTCGAAGTCTTGAAAAAAACTTGCTTCTGCTTGAAGAATCGCTGACCCAAAATCAATTAGGTGTCAATTATGGCATGCACCAGTTGATTATGGTTGACAGACGTGGTCTAGTTAATCATTGCTTGTTGCTTCTTGCCTATTCTCATTGTTTTTCTCTTTACCCTTGATTTTAAAGCTTAACCGGCTCTCCCTCCCTTGTGTGCGAGAGAGAAAAATACCAGAAATCAACCTAATCCTTTAACCAAAGTCCACTTATCCACAGTAAATAGAAACCAAATACTTGTTTTCTTCTCTGACAAGAAAATAAACCCAAAGTTTTACCTGCTCTGAAATATTAATCAAACCCCTTCTTCTCTCTTACTCCAAGGGTGTCTTTTTCTTTTCCCCTCCTCTTTTTGGTTTTGCCTAATATATTTATCATTATTCACTACTTTTGTTGATTCATTCTTTGCATGAAAGGATGGTGGCGAAGCAACTTCTGTTCATGAAAGGCTGCTCAAAGCAAACACCAAAGACTATGGGAGATATGATCCATCACCAGCTATTGTTAAGCCTCCTTTCAAGCTCATACCCAACTGAAGGTGGTGTAGCAATGGATTAAAAAAGAGCTTGGCAGCTTTGATCACAGTAGTACTTAAATAACTGAAGCATTATCATTACTATCTACTCTCTCTATATATAGTAATTAATACTATATGTCATATATATATATATATATTTATAGTACTAAGTTTTGAGACCTAAATAATTACTATGGGCTGTACAGATATCCTGTTAGAACAACTTTAAGGTACGAATCTATATCATGATGTAATGTTCACAGTGTAACATTATGATTTCAAAGTAGTAGTACTACTTCTAATGTAAATTGTGTGGATGTCGAACTTGTCTTTTTTATTTAAATATATTAAATTAGACTTGTTTTCTTCTACATGATTATTAACTCTCTTTAGTTTCATTGTGAGCTTAATGAAGATTATAATGTTGTAGTGAACTGACAACCTTATAATATATGACAATAGATTCGAATTATTTTTATGTAATCTATTACTTAGTTATATATAAAATATATTTTTCAAATGAAAAAATTAATCATTTTTAATCATTTTAAGAATAAATGCTTTACTCGTATGAGAAATTACAAATGATTTTGATATTAAATAAATAATTTCATGTATTATTACTTTTAGATGTTTTTTATAATGTATATATAAAAGATGGGTGGTCGGAGTAAGGAGAAGAGTCCTACAGTGAAGTTTGAGATTTACCTAGCTTCAGCGGTTTGATATATACATTTGAAGGAAACTCGAGAACAGAAGTTGCCCCAAGTCAAAGCAACTTCGGAGACACTATTTGCTTCCCTTTGCCTTTTGTTTTTCTTCGGGGAAAAGCCGGTAAAAGGTCAAAAGCCAAAATCTAGAAGGAGCCCCTTGGGTCTCTGGATTGAAGATTCGGCCATACATGTGTCAAACTTGGTCTTTGGGCTGATACTGACGAACTGGGGAGAACTATCCAGGGATGCCGTAGCCCAATTTGACTCCCCAGAGCTGCATGTTTAATTGTTAAATAAATTTTTTAAAAAAAACAAGAGATTAAAATATTTCTTTGAAAACCAAACAAGGTTAGCTTAATTGATAAATTCATTCATTTTCATGGTGATTAATTTTGAACTCGACCTTTATCGATAGCCCTTATTGACATTAATTTTAAATACAATTCTTATAAAATAAATCTTTTAATATCTCGATACATAAAAACCAATTTATTATTTTTTTAAAAAAAAGAAATCGTTTAATCATTATGAGGTATTAATATGCAATCATTATGTCACCAAGGGAGAATTTGAAAGAAGTTCCACCTCACTTTTGAAGTACATGTACAGCAAACAGCAAAAAAAGGACACAATTGCTTGTGCCATTTGGGCTAAAAATAAAAAGGGCAAGGGGCCATTTGGTTAATTCTAGGAATATAAATTTTGTACTTCATGAAATTGCCCCCACAAAAGCCAATCAATGTGAGTTTATGTCTTATAATCAAACATCTTCTCCTTCAAAAGAAGAAGAATTTCATTTACCTAATCTCAATTGATTTTGATGTTTTAATTGTTTTCCTAATAGATGATTAGGCATCTCTCAATCAAGTCTAAACACCATACTTCCTTTTTTAACCATAAAATGACACTTTTGTCCTCAACTTAATGGCATGTTTGGCCAAATTTGAGGATTTGTTTAGTGCCCAAAATAAGCTATCAACTTTCTTTTGACTCCATACGAAAATGTAATGAGTTGAACAACAGCATCAACCGCATTAATTAAGCACAAATCTTTTTTTTTTCTTCCTCTCACTTTTTGTTGGTTGCCATTTACGTGTACAACTCAATGTCTTGATTTTGTAACGTAGCACCCACCAAATAGAAAATATTTTCCTTGGCAAAACATTTTCTAGTTGACATCTGTCCGGAGCGTTACACGTCCTAAGTATTTGACCTACAGCTAATTTATTAATCATTTGGTGTCATCGTCAGATTTTTTAAAACAAATAAATAAATGTTTTTTGTCTCTTTTTACAATAATAAAACTCTTTTTTATCCCTTTAATCTTTGAAAGGTTCAAGCCAAAATATGGCTTGTGTCGAAGTTTAATCGAATTAATAATAACAAAATCTTTTTAAATCTAACACTTTTGACTTAAAGGGCCCTTTTTTGACATTTGCACTACCAGTTTGGGTAATAACTTCACATTGTAATTCCAACATCTCAAATTTATTTATTTTTAATTATAAGTTATAATCTTTCTAAAAAAAGGAAAATAATTACAGATGTACTTTTAATACCTCATTTCATATTGAATATGAATCTAATTATTAAAATTTATATAAATACTTAAATCAATCACTTTTAATAGGTCATATAATTTGGTTATAAAAAACTACAAAATCGATAATTTTTGAACTTGGATTGATTGAATTACTGAATTTAATTCAAATCTCATTTTTTATGTAAAAAATAGTTTAAACTAAACCATCAAACTTCATTAAAAAAAGGTTTAAAAACCCAATAAGAAAAAGGAAAGGTGGTTCTGTTTTGTACAAAAATGCCTACGCAAGTGAGGGGGAAAGAATCTGGAAATTATGAATGAGAATAATAATAATTAAGGTATTTTTAAAGAATCTTTTTAAGTTGAAAAAACATTTAAATAATAATATTTCATGATGATACTTTCGTGTGACTTGAAAAGCAAGGGAATGCGTACTGCGCACTCCGCGTACCTCATAAGAAACCATCCGTTTCCGTTTGTTAGCTCTATTTTCTAAACAAATTTTCAATTTTTTTCCCAATTCAACCGCACAAATAAAACACCTTTTTAAGGTACAAGTTTTACAAACACGGAATCGCTTGCTCTAAAAGTATCACTCCGTTCAGCACAAATTCCGTCAAATAAAAAAAAAAACATATTTAACGGCTGATAAATGAGGTCAGTTGAACAGGTTCTAACGACGTTAGTAAAACCGTCTAAAACGACCTCACTCCTTCCCTCTTTCTTTCTGAAACAATGAGAAAAAGGGAATAGAAAGAACAAGCAGCCGCTTAGTCTCCTCCCTTTCCTTTCTCTTTCTCTGGAATCACTCGGGTTTCTATTTTGAATACGGCGGCGTTTTTCGGAGCTCAAACAGGTACTGTCGGTGGCGTCAGGTTCCGATTTTTTACTTTTGACTATGGGGAAAAGTTGTTTGGTAGTCATGCTAAGGTGCTCGAAAATCAAGTATCATTATAATAATTTAAATTTTCCTTTTATATTTTGCTGTCCGGAATATTAATGTTTTAAATTTTGATTTGATTTGTTTGTTTTTTTTTCTCTTTTGCTGTGGTTATTATGACCGCGAGTTACTGTACTTTAGGCATCTATTTCGGATCTCTTTTTGACCTCTGTAGTGTTTTCTATTTGTTCGTTTCACTATATTTAGGGTTTCTGAATTTTTCCAATTAATTAATTAATTATTTTGGTACTCTTACTCGGTCTGTGAAGACTAGCAAATTGATCCATGCTTGGTCTTTTTTTCACCATTTTTTTTATTTCAGTATATTCTTTGTTTGTTACGCAGTTTTCACTTTTTCTTTAGTTTTGAGTGAGTTGCCGTGGATACTGAGGGTGTTGTTCTGAGCCTACAAACTCTTTCATTTGGTCTCTCAACTTAGCTATTAATTGATTAAAGCTCATTTTAATGCCAAAGAAGGTAATTTCCTTTTTTATAATTTTGTTGGAGGTGTTTTGGTTAATTTCGGATTCTTGTTTCAATTTCTTCTGTTTTGACGTTATAATTTAAATTTAAGTTGGTAAGGATATAATAAGGATTAGATTTAGGTTTTAAAATCAAGTGCAAATAATTTTACTAGTATTTTATTTTCTATTGACTAATTATTGATCAGCTTATTGATGCTTTGGTTTTTTTTCTGTTAATAATTGAAGGAATATAACGCTGGCGGTTTTCCTGCTAGGGTAATGGTGGTTGAGTTTGTGTTTCGGATAATGTGAATGATGTTTGTTTGAATAAACTGGGAGAGAATTAGTTTGTGGTGTGGTGGATCATGGGGGCTGCTTGCTGTGTTGCTGCTAGAGACAAAACTATAGTAAATGGTTCAGGTAGTGAGGCTTTACATAGGAATATAAGGTATTCCCCAACGTGGAGTTTTCGTTGGGATAATCGAGGGCGTGTAGCTGGAGAAGACACTTCTATAAGTTGGTTTTCAGATGTGATTAGTCGGAATGATGGATCAGAGATCAAATATGAGTCTGCATGTGCATCAGAGGATGCAAGTCCGTCTGAGAGTTTCCAGTCTCATATATGGAAAAAGTCCCCAATTTCAGAAGGAACTGCTGGGCACGTGAGAACTCCTGCTTCAGGTAAACTCTTTGGATGCAGGTCTTATTGTGGGTCTTACCGTAATTCAAAAATGTTGAATTTAGTTTTGAAAGTTAAACAATATTCCTGTTATTACCTTACCATATGGGAGACTAACTGAATTAGATAGACAATAATTTCCATTTAACCAAAAAGATATATGTTGAAAGGTGCTTCTGATAAAAAATCAGAACATCAAGGGGCTTGGGTCCTTATACGCAGTGGAAGGGAGCAATAATGTATAAATGAAAAAATTCTGAGTCTTTCTTTTCAAGACACTGACCATCATTTGGCATTCTCTGGAAAATTTGGTTTAGTAAAGTAGTTGCATGCATAACAGGATTACCCTTGTCCTATTGGTTATACAATCATGCTGCAATCACCTGTTGAAGGCCATTGCTTCTGGCTTTTCTTCCTTTTCCTTGGAGCAATCTTTTTCTCCTTGGATGGTCCCACTCTACCTTGCTTATGTTACACGAACAGTGGGAATAATGTGTGAATGCTTTACTTTAATTCAGTTTTGTTTTTTTCATGGTGAATTTATAATAAAAACAATAATTTTTCCGACAACAGGATATGTATGAGGTCTAGGGGGTTTCCCTTATTTTTTGGGGAGAGGTGGGGGTGGGGCAGTGAGATTTGTTTCCCTAGTCTTGTTGTATGTGCTGGTCTCATGGTAAAAAAAGGAAAAGACAGTGAAAACAGATCATCTACTAAAATTGGCCCTGCCGTTCTGTCATTTTGTTAGTTTTCAACCTTTAGATGTGAGAAAGGTCTTGTCCAAGGCAAAAAAAAAAAGGAAAAAAAATGTTTGAGAGGTCCTTTAGAGTTGTTCTGTCTAATGTTCTTTTACATATATTATGCAGATCAATCTATTTCAAGAAATGTCTCTATCAATGTGAACATAGAGCAGGTAAAACTCTTAACTGTAGGAGGCAGTTTCATGTGTGTTTCCAATACTCTGTCATGATAACTTCCCCTTAATTTGACATCCTTTAAGAAATGTGGGTTATGTTTCAGGTGAAAGAATCAGCAGAATCCCCTGCAGCTTCATACCCATCTCCCTCAAAGTTATCACTTTCTTTGCCATCAGCTTCCTCATTGGCAACATCCCCTTTGTCATCCCAGAGTCATGCGCATCCTACCAGTTCAATGACAACAAGGTGGCCTCTCAGATCACCTGGACATCATCTATTGCGCCAAGTTTCTGATAATCGAATTATGGGATTGAAGTCACCTAATAGATACTCAGTCGGTGAGGAAAGGCTAGTGATGCCTTCATGGAGCAATGAATCAACTGGGGGCTCTCGGGGTGGTTCTTCTGATGGTTGGTCAATGCATGCCTTTTCTGAACTCATGGCTACATCTCGTAGGGAAAGGTGGTCTTTTGATAGTGACTCATGGGGTTTTCATCGTGAGAAGATAAGCAGATCCAGTGGCCGAATCTCATCTTCCCCTTCTGTTGATCTGCAAACATGTGGTGTTTGCTCAAAGCTGTTATCAGAGAAATCTTTGTGGAGCAGCCAGAAGATTATTATTAACAATGAGCTTTCGGTTGTTGCTGTTCTAACTTGTGGACATGTTTACCATGCTGAATGTTTGGAGAACATGACCCCTGAAATTGACAAGTATGACCCTGCTTGCCCCATTTGTACTTTAGGGGAGAAGAAGGCCCATAAATTGTCTGAGAAAGCATTTAAAGCAGAAATGGATTTTAAGGCTAAAATCAACAAAAGATCAAGGAGCCGGGTTGTTGATAGTGATATTGATGCTGATCCTGTTGTATTTAACCGTCTGAGAAGTAGTGTACATGAAGGGAAGGCCTCCAGTTCAAGCATGAAAAGCTCCTTGGGCAAGCCCTTCCTGAGGAAACACTTTTCTTTTGGATCAAAGGGAAGTAGGTCCCCTTCAGAGAATCTTCCTACCAGGAAAAAGGGATTTTTCTGGGTCAAATCTAGCAAGATATGAACTTGTCTGCTGTTAGGAGGTTAGTATCTCGTTGGCTGATGTATTGCCTTTTTCAGTACAGGCCTCAAAAGCTTCATTCTTCCTTTCATTGCATTTACAAATAAAACCGCCTTCCTTATCTTAATGTCACAGTTGTGACCACAATCTGTCCTTGCCTGGAACGAAAGTAATCGATTTTTGATACCTCAAAATACCCACAAATTATTTAAGAAAATGTTCAAATCCTTGGTTTATTGGGACTCAATTGTGATTTGTCATTTTTTCTGTTATACAGATTCTGGTTTTCTTCTCCTCTACAGTCCTAGTTGGATACAGGGATTGCACATAGGGCAGGGCTGTTCATTCTTGAAGAATTATTGACATCATTCTGAAGTTTCAACATGATGATCTTGTGGGACTCACACTGTAAAGAAGAAAAATGGAAATCATAGGTGAAAGAATAGCTCACAAAGTTTAAAGAATGGAAATATATAATGTAACACTAGTGATCTTATTCTTATTTTGTACAGATTGAATCTGTTTCTTGCTTGGATTCATACACGAAGATTCATATGAAAAATTCTGTATGGCTTATTGACTCTGGATCTTCCCAGAAGGCAATTATATTTCATTAGGGCTTTGAGTTGTATTGCTTTCCAATTGCCCTCATACTTACATGGCAAGCCATATCTGAACAAATCGATGGATGAAAATATTAAATCTATTTTCAGTTTAGATTTGAGCCAATTCTGGAGGTAAATTATGGTAGTAACCAATAGATATTTGGGCTCCCGCCATTATTCATCAGAATCTCTGAATCATCATAGGACTGGACACGCTTTCTTCATACCATGCAAATTTTTCTTATTGAATTGGGAGTGCCCCATGAATTTCGCTCCTCACCTAGCTCGCCTAAACAAGATACACCGTTGAACCGACAAAAGAAAGTAAATGAGTGGGACCGTCAAGTTCTCAGCATACGTAAACCCTGGAGACGCGTTCGCTGTTACTAATTTGGGAAGTTATATGAGAAAAATCACTGACAAATAGAAATAATGTTATTCTTTTCTTTATTGTGAACCGGTTCATCCTAATGCCACACCCATTCGTCGCACACGTAAGCTACACGTGCACCCTCCATTCTCTAACGTGGCATTATCCTGGATGAATCATTTCCTAACGCTTCGCCACCTGTAAAATGTCTAGCTACATGCGTGCAGAAGCGTTGTCTTCTTCTCCACCGTCTTCGGGTTTTCCATTTTTAAGTGCCCAGATTAGTCTCAATCCATACCATCTGCCAAGCCCCGACAGATACAAACATATATAGCTCCCAGTCCACTACTGTCAAACTCTTTTCAAGCTTCTTTCTTTTGCTTTTTCTGTCACTGACGAAATGGCTGATTTAAGAGATGTGCATGGCAACCCCATTCGACTCACTGATGAGCAAGGCAACCCAGTTCAACTGACCGACGAATACGGTAACCCCGTGCACGTCACTGGTATAGCCTCCAAGCATCCAGTTATGACTCAGACAGGTGTGCATGGCGGTCAGATGGGAGATGAGACTGGCTCTGCAGCTGGGTATCAGCAGCAGCATCCACAGCAGCTGCATTACGAGGCTTCCAGCAGGGTCGAGATTCAGCGCTCCAACAGCTCCAGCTCGGTAATGAAAAACCGCCTCATATATATGATGGCAGATTTGGTTTTTTTTATTATTATTTTACAGTTAACTGCCCTTTCTCTTTGGCTTTGAACTGTTTTTGGTTTTAGTCCGAGGATGATGAGATGGGCGGGATAAGGAAGAAGAAAGGGCTGAAGGACAAAATAAAGGATAAACTGACAGGTGGAAAGCACAAGGAGGAGGTGCAATCACAGACCACAACTCACGAGTCTAAAGCCACGACCACCAGCGTCGCGCATGGGCAGCAACACACTGAGCACGAGAAGAAGACAATGATGGAGAAGATCAAGGAAAAATTCCCTGGTCATCATAGTCATTAAAGCTGTCTGAATGAATTGCAACTTTAGTTTTGGATGCTGTGTTTGTAATGATGTTGGCCTTAAAATTATGTGTGCTTGTAAATTTATCATGAGTTTGAAGTGTGATCTGTAATAAACAGTACATTATGATGTAGGAATTGATGTAGCAAACTTGTTATGATACTAGTACTTTCTTTTTCTTTATAATAATTACCATGTCCGTTCATCAATGGGCGAATTGAAACATTTATTGTGAATTTCCAATACAATTGCATAACATAATATTTAATATATTTTAGTAAAAATGTTCCCTTAAATGTTCCCCCCCCCCCCCCCCCCCAAAAAAAAAAAAAAACTTTCATATTATTGATAAATATAAAAATTTATCAGCATCCATGGCATTGGTGTCATGCGTAACTTTTAATACAAAATTTGTGTTAGAAACTTAAAAATTATTGTTAGACGAATAATTTTTATGCAAAAAAATTGTCCCCACAGGTACCTATAGATGCTCGGAACTCCCATCATCAGTGTGACAGTACAAAAGAACAAGGAGTTCTAACTCTGACCTTTCAAATACCGTCGCTGCACTTCAGCAAGTATGTACCTGTTTTGGAAAGTCTTTGCCTTCTTAAAAGTTTCTCGTTAGACATGCATGGTAAATTTATAATTTTCTTTTCTTGTAGCATTCGACATAGTAGCAGCTGGGGACAAACAGATGCACCACCAAGCTCTAGACGCCACACATAAAGTCCCCGTAAAGATGTATGTGTCAAAGATGGTGGCTACACAACAAATACAGTTCAAGGAATTAAGTAAATTAAGAGTACAAACTGTAATTGAGCAGGGCCGTTGTTTAGCATTTTCTTAGATTGTAACAGTCTTATATCATAGCATGCTGAGTTTTTTCTTTTTCTTTTTTTTCTCTTTTTCCTTGCTAAAGTTGGAGTTGATTTTGATCTTTAGTAAACCCCACTTCATATTGCCTATCTGCATCATTGAAGATGGTTTAGGAAGTAATGGACAACTGGAAAGGTATGCCATTCGTTTATCTGGGAGAGCACTTTTCTTCACCAAAGGAGCTCATTAATTACTGGTGTAATTAATGCAACCAATTGCTCGAATTCCCCTATGGCAGGTTCTCATGGAGAAGCAGCAAACAAACTTTATGATGCTATAAAGTAAGCTCATACAATCACAATTCACAACAGTTTATTGTCTTTGTGTTTGTAATGGTTGGAATTGATATACAGAACTCTTGGTCTCGGGCTTATGCAATTTTGCTTTTAAAGATGATTGCTTTATGTTCAACCATTTTCACTTGACTTTAATATATATGAACTTGGGAGGCCATACTTATATCTTAAATAACACTGTAGGATAACAATTATGATCTGTATACTTTGGAAATTAACATTAAATCTTAAATACCAAGTATATTAATTTTCATTATTATGTCAAGTTAAAGTTGTTTTTCTTCCTTTTTTTTTTAGTATCAAATTTTTTATTTATATCGTTATATGTAATTAAAGTGTTCACGAATTGAGATATTTATTAAATCCTATCAACAAAATCAAATCTAAATTTAAATTTATTTTAGGTTCATCTTTAGATAATTATGAAATATGAAATGATAATTCTTGATTTAGTCTAACGACCTACTCGTATGGCCATTACCGGTGCACAAGTCATATCGGTGAGCCCACACAATTTGGTAAGCCTTCTAAATATATTTATCTTACAAAATAAATTCTTTCCTTTATTCCATTTTCTTTACTTCATTTATTTCTTTAAACATTTTTATCATTACACCAGCAACAATGACAAATTTAATCCTTCATCACACATAAGATTTCATAATAAGAAATTCCAAATATTTGTACAACATATTTTAGGTGATAAATCTTCAAATTTAATCAAATAATATCCAAAGGCCTCGGCCCAAAATAGTTTTTAATATACATCACTTCTTTTAAAACAGTAAATAACTCGACATTTAGATAGTGAAGCGACACAAAAATAATGCTATAAGATGCCAATTACTTACTCGACAAGCTAAAGTCCTTTCACCACCGTCGTTTTCAAAATTCACTTATCTGTCATTGTCAATTAGTTAGAATGAATTTTTTTTATACTCAGTGAGTGGACAAGAAGGGAAACAAGTATTAAGATAGAGCTTTTGATAAAAGCATAATAATAATATATACATATGATGATATAAACTATACGCAAAGTTAATAAATTTTATACAAATCAATATAAGATGCTTGAGCTTAAATCCCAACATATCAATTAAGTTATCCTTGGGTAGGTCTAAGAAATTGTGCATTGTATAAACCATGTGCAACACTACAACAGTGAACATGAGGCATCACCCACATTGACCCCTCAATCAACACATCTAGTTGGAATGTCACATTTATTGTAAATTAGAGTCAATGTATGTTGTGATAGGAAATGCATCGTCTACCATATCCACCATAAATGCCTACTCGTGGGATTCTCCACATCATCAAATATCAAGTCCGGGGTTTCACATCCCTCTTATACCTACTCGCAGGACTCTTCACATCATAAAATATCAAGTAAAGGCTTCACGTCCCCTTTATACTTATTCGTGGGACTCCCCACGTCACCAATTATTAAGTCAAGGCTCCTCGTCCTCCTTAACACTCAAATATTAAATCAATAAATAACTATTATTTGTGCATAAAGACCATACAAATCTGATATGGTAATAGGACTTATACTAGTAAAGTTTACACAAAAAAATAATCCAATGGAATTTCAAATGAGTATAATCTATTTCAATCATAAGCTTAATGAGTATATATGCATGTTTAAATCATGAAAATATAGCATAAACTCGATTGTTTTGAAGCTTTTAAATTAAGATAGAATTCTAGCATTTTCAAGGGCTTACTTCCCGTGGTTATAAAACAGCTCATAATATAATTTGTACTCATGAAATCATAAACACAATAAGGTTATACATCAACTCAAGTGTCTAACAACTCATGCTTCCCAATAGCATTTAAATATGTAGCACATAATCAGTCGTAGAGGTAGAATTTCATATTTGAAGGAGGAAAATAAAAAGTTTAATATTTATAGGGATGAAATTATAAATTTTTTTAAATAAAAATAAAAATATTAAATTTTAAAACTTTTGAATGACAAGACCCCTACTAACCCTTCTGGATCCCTCCGCCTCTGCACATAATTATAGCATACTAATGCCGCCATAAAAGCTGTGAGCATCTTTGTGTCTATCCAGTTAGAGTAACAAAATCCATAATATGTTTTAAAAAGGGGTTGCCCACTTAGTGGGAATTGTCATTAATTACTCTAAATATTTTCCTTTGAATTCAGTTTAGTTCCTTCAAGTTTCTTTTTACAAAGCTCAAATCTTTTTGTTTTTTTAAGCCTTAAAGGGCCAATTGCCTCAGGGCCAATGCTCCTTCAGCAGCATCTTTACCGAGGTTTGTTTAGAAACAAAGCCCTAACTCGAATAACCCCCTAAAAAACCACAATATATTTGTTTACTGCAATTCTAAAGTTATTTGCGTGGCATTCCTTCTGCCAGCATGAGTTTAATAATTTAAGCTCACCTTTTGGTTTTACTAATTTCGCCTTTTAAACCCCACTAATCAGTAATCAACCAAGGTGTTGGGCCTCTGACATAATTCGAGCAATAACTTCATCTTAAAATACATTCAATCAATTTCAAAACCTCTACATTTCCTCATAGTCCGTAACTAGTTTAGTAAGCAATCAACCAATAATTTCTTAGCATCTTACCTCATTGATGGCCCAATTCAAGTAAATACTTAGCTTAAACACTTCTTCACACCAAAGGTCAAAATCCACCGCAAGAATTAAATGGGTTATTAACCTCTTGATTTTATAACATAAAGCTTCAATAAGGACCTTTTTATCGTACATTCAAACTGCCGGCATGAAGCTTTCATTTGGCAAGCCTCAACCTTAAAAAAAACTCAGTCCAGGGCGTCCCATAATTATAGGGGCTACCACCTCTCAAAATTTTTAAAATTTTTTATATTATATATATATTTTAATAACTTTTCAAAATAATTTTTATTAAATAATTAATATAAATAAAAAATAATTAAATAACTTTACAAATTCCATTCAACTGTATCTTAGTTTTTAAGTTTTTCCTTTAACTTTTTAGGATTCTCCAAACCTTTTTCTTTTTTTTTCTTTTTTGTTTTTTTATTTTGAAATTACGATAAAGTAAAGTTTTTTTATTTTATTTTTTCTTATTTATATTATTATTTATTTATTTTTATATTTTTATTCTATTTATCCATATGTTCTAAGTTTTAATACATTTTTTCACATTTTTATGAATTATTAATCATATACTTTTTTTTTTGTTATATGAGTTTTATTTTCTATTTGTCATGTTTTTTTTTATGTTATGTGAATTTATTTTAAATAATTTTAATATTTAAAAATTTAAAAATTATTATATAATTTTTAAATATAAATTATAATATTACATTATTGATTGTTATTTAAAATTTCACTAATATATTATTTTTTAATTAATCTTAATTATATAAAAAAATTATCTTAAGTATATTTTTTTCATATGCTTTACATTTTACATGTAGTTGAAAGAAGTTATGGTAAGTATTTAATATTTAAACAATCATAATTATATAAGAAGACATTATTAATCATATATATTGTATTTAATTATTTATATTTTATATATTATAATTTTAAATTTAAATAGAAGTAAAATAATAATATTAAAAATTAATCGTATTAATTTTTTAACAGTTTATATTGAAAAAGATATTATTAATTTTTTTAATATAAAATTAATAATTGATGAATTTAGCTTATTGCCACCTTGCTAATGGCTGCCATGGTTCCCCTTATCATCTTCTTATCCACATAATATTCAATTGAAGTTTTCAAATATTCTTATATTGGCCCAACGTGACTCCATGTGTAAGTCATTAGAACTGCATAGCCGGCCACTCATTATCCATTTAACATTTAAAGTTCAAATATACATATTGGATATTGATTTAACTTAAAAATGGTTTAATTGCATGTAGGCTCTCCAGCTTTTCCTATAACTTCATTTAATTCCACAAAAATCCTTCCTATCCTAAAATTATTCAACTTGTAAATTCTCGAGTCTTCCGTTTTGACCCAACTTACTTCTACAAAATCGCTCAGTAATATTTTAATATTTTATTCGATCACCATTAACAAAATAATATTATTTTAATTTTATTTTAATTTTATTGGACATTTCTTATCGATAGTAATCATGATTTCGATAGTATCATAGATCTCAATTAACACCCAATGTACGGAATGTTACATTTAGTATTTTTATTTTTAAAAGAAATAGAAATACCGCGAGTAAGTAATTGGGAGGGGGAGGGAGAAGTGGAGAGGGGAATCCAACGGTGCAAAACACGTCAACCTCCATTCCTCAGTCCTCTCTTTTCCTTCTCTGCTCGTTGGTTTTTGATTTGGGACTTCAATTCACTCTTCAACCTCGTCCGTCGTCAAATTCAGGGCTTACCTTTCCCCACGAGCAGATTCCCGCCTATTTATAAACCCGTCTCCCTTTCAAATGGTACTCCAATCGCAATCCCATTTCCTTGCTACTTCCCCCAGAGCCCTCCCTTTCTCTCACTCCTCCTCCTCCTCGCCTCTCCTCACCAGAAAAAGCTACTTACTCTCGTTTCCTTCCTTCAAAACCCCCCGAATTTGTCTCCAAACAAAAGCCATGATTTCCAACTCTAAACTCTCTAATCACACCGATTCTTTATCACTAAACGACGCCCAACTCGACCGCTTTGCCGAGGTCGGCAACAAGCTTGCTGATGCCGCCGGCGAAGTGATTCGCAAGTACTTCCGGAAGAAATTCGAGATTCTTGATAAAGAAGATTTGAGTGAGTCTTCTAAGAATTTTGCTTACTCAAATTTAATGAAAATGCAAATACTCCTTACGTTGTATTCGTCTACTGCAGGTCCAGTGACAATTGCAGACCAAGCAGCTGAGGAATCTATGGTTTCGATTATATTGGACAATTTTCCGTCCCATGCAATGTGAGTTTTGAGTCTTCGTACTATCGTTTCAGTGTTGGATTTCCATTTGGAGTGATAAAAGTTGTGTTCTTTTATTTTCTGTAGCTGAAATTATTACAATTGTAATTGTAGTTACGGAGAGGAAAACGGCTGGAGATGTAAAGAGAATTCTGCAGATTATGTTTGGGTTTTAGATCCAATAGATGGCACAAAAAGTTTCATTACTGGTATCTTTTTGTTTCTACTTGTATTCGAAGTATTATGTTAGTTTTATGCTTCTATTTTCCTGAAGTGACATCATACTTGTCGTTTTTTAGGAAAACCGGTCTTTGGTACTCTTATTGCTTTGCTGCATAAAAGTAGACCAGTAAGTTATACTTATACCCCTGTACTACGCTTCCGCTTATGCTAGTTGTTGTTAATAGGTAAAGTGGTTGCTTTCCTTTTGTTCCCATGAGAGAGCAATCTTAGCAGGCTCAGTACTTTTTTGTTATCCTCATTAGCAATGAAAAGTCCCTGTCATCATGACAAAACCAGTTTTGCAACATTGTCCTATGAGCCTGCACAAAGCTGAGAGTGAGTCGATTTTGGTCTTACCAGTTGGCATAAATATGTTGCCCTCTTCATCTATTTTTTCCAGATTCTTGGTATAATTGATCAGCCTGTTCTTAGAGAAAGATGGATTGGAATAAGTGGAAGGAAAAGTACATTGAATGGACAAGAAGTGGCTACACGGACTTGTACAGAACTGTCACGAGCATATTTGTATGTTATCCTTGTCTTTGACTAGTTCTTTCTTAACAAAGTTGCATTCCAAGGTTTATATGATAGAGTTTTCTGGCTAAACTGAGTCTCTGAGTTTCACTTTTGACATGTAGTGTGTGTGTGTGAGTGTTTGAGGTGGTGGGAGAGGGATACAGGGAGGTTGAGGTTAGTACTAAACAGCACTTCAAATCTTATGACTAGAAGGTTAATGGTTGAAGATTTCATCTGAAAATTGCAAAGGCTGGGGGTTGTGATACGAGCAGTAAACCATATGATCTCAATTTAAAGTAGCTTGGCCTTTAATGCCGGAGTAATAACTACATGCACACAATTCCTGTTTATAGCAGTAAGCTGATGTCTGTTTACCTTGCTTTCTCTTAACTTTTTGACCTTTTATTTATTTGTTTAGGTACACCACAAGTCCACATCTGTTCAGCGGAGATGCTGAAGAGGCATTTGCCCGTGTAAAAGATAAGGTTGTATATTTCTATTTAAAATGGATTTTGATAAGGTGTTGTGTAAATTTACCCATTATTTGATACAAGATAAACCACAAAAGGACTCCTGTCCTGTGATATATTCATTTGATGATTATGATGTTCTACCTCTAAAACCTATGCAATTTCTACTCATATGCCATCGGAATTTTCAAAATATACAAGATAATCAAGGGGAAAAGCCAAGGTTTTAAGAATGAAATCTAATATATGCAATTGAAGACTTTGAAGAATCAGGTTCTTTTGGTTTGTTTCCAATTTTCTTACCACACAACTGCAGATACCAATACTTTCCTTTCATTTTTACATCATGCTGTGATGTTGCATGTTGGCATATGCAAAAGTTGTTTTATGGATGCTTAGACCTGGTTGTTAGGTCAACTTCTGTATTTTCAAAAAATTTAGTAATGTTCGTCATTATCGATCATTGTTTCCTTTTATTTTCCTTTATGGACTCAGATATGTTTATTTATCCTAGTTCAGTAGTTCTCAGTGTGTTTCCTTTTTGTCTTTTCCCGTTTTCAACAGGTGAAGTTGCCATTATATGGCTGTGACTGCTATGCTTATGCCCTCTTGGCCTCTGGTTATGTAGATCTTGTCATTGAGTCTGGTCTTCGGGTATGCCTTTCAGGTTTTTTGGTGTACAGAGTAAATGCCACTAAAGTTAAAAGATAAGGGACTGTCAATTGCAATCTAATTATGGATGGCTTGTTTTGTTGTCAAGAAGACCACATCACTAATTCACGTTTTATTAGCATAATATGTTTTTCTAATGAAGATTGTAACCTCTTTGTCAGCCATACGATTTCCTTGCACTTGTACCTGTTATAGAGGGTGCTGGTGGTTTTATAACTGACTGGGAAGGACAGCAGCTTGACTGGAAAGCTTCTTCTAGTTCACGTGCAACAAGTAAGCCCATGCTATTGGAAATTCATTTTTTCCTTTTTGAATCAAGTAGTTAATGTTGAAGCTAATATGTTCTAAATTTTGCTGGTACAATATTGCTGATTTAGCCTTTTTTGCTCATCTTCTAGGCTTTAATGTAGTGGCAGCTGGAGACAAACAGATTCACCGACAAGCTTTAGATGTTCTCCAGTGGCGGTGAAGGATTTTTTATGCATTTTAACTCTTTAACTTCCTTAAAGATGATAAATTTCTCGAGCTCCTCTATTTGAGTTCTGGCATCATTT